AGTGAGAATGTGGACAAAACAGGGGAAGGAGATTACAAGGTACAAACTTACATCTATAACACAAATAAGTTATAAGGAATAATGTGCAACATAGGGAATACAGTCAATATTGCAATAACTGTGTGGTGGCAGATGGATACCAGACTTCTCATGGTAATCTCTTCAAAAGGCATATGTGTCAAATCACTGTCTTGTACACCTGAAATTAATATAATATTGTCAAGACTATAATTTTTCTGAGAATCCTTTCTGTGTCCCCTTTACACTGGTGGCCTCACTGAGCCATGCCTCCTAGTACTCATACCCTGTGTAGTTCCCTCCACTTATTCTGGTCTTGTAATTTGACTAAATCAATAGAATGGGGCAGAAGAATAGGCTTCTCATTCTTAACTTAAGCCTCAAGGTTTTGCAGTTTCCATCTTTGCACTGCTGGAAGCCCTAAAGAGCCATGTGAGAATTCTGGCTACCCTAGCAGAAGGACCATATCGGGGACGGGGAGGTTCTGCTACCCCTGCTCCCCAGCTGGGCTGGCCTTGCCTACACATCAGTTCAATGCAGGCACAGGAGTGCCACTTACAGGTCCAACACAACCCCAGTTAAATTGTAGAATTTTGAGCAAAAATGTGACTATTGTTTTAGACCATTAAATCCTGAGATAATTTGTACATAATAAATAAAGCACTAACTTTAATTAAATCTTACAGAGCTCCTTTTTAAGGTTTCTGAGTGGAATTTTCTTCTCATTCCATTTGCCACACCATCCTCTGCTCTAAATTATTAACCAGTCAGGGTTGTCATATATAGTTAAATGGGTTGTGCACTGTACCAGGGCACCTGCCAAGGCAGTCAATGTAGACTCCCTGCCTGTCCTTTGTCTTGAGGGGACATTTTAAATAAATTGAATAAATATGCCTAATTGGCTCCCAGAGCTCTGCCAAAAAGTTTTCAGTTCAATCAAATCCAAAGTTGTTCACCTGTCCTCTAAGCTTCCTTTAACTAACTGCTTGATGCCACCTTTGCTTTCCTTCCAACTTTCTCCAATACAGTCTCTCATTACTGATCTCCAGTCTTGGCCCAGTGAGGTTACTCTTTCCCACCCACAGAAGTGTTCATTATTCCTTCCAATCAGGAGCAGTTATTAAACTGGGGACATGCCTTCTAAGGAATGATACAAATGAAGCCATCAAGGTTCTGTGTACTCAGGTACCAGGACAATTTAGTCTAATGAACCCCAGATGATCTGATATTTTCTTACAGGTACATGTGTGCATGTGGGTGGGTGGATTTCCAAGGGTGTTAAAATAACAGGTGGGGCCTAAAACATCTGTTATTTAATTTCCAGTTTCCAGATGTGGATGGCAAAGCCCATGGTATGTGAATTGTTCTGCCCCAGGGAGGCTGTGCTTTATTGGACAAAGGTACAAAGACATAGGACACTGTTCTTGAGCCAGGGAAACTGGTCTATAGGGGAAATTCTTTTCCTCACAATTCACAGCACAACCAGAAAGCAAAATGCTCCCATATGCTGTGCAAATGGACCAACGTGACATGAAATACACGTTGTCGAATTTTGTAATCTTAGTCTTCATTAAATATTCAACACAGAAAATTTGATCTCTTCCCCCTTCTTTATATTCCCTCCTCCATCATGCCTCTTCTCCATCTTACCTGCCTTCTTAGAAGTGATGACTTGGAGTTGCTTTCCTGTCAGGGACACAGCCAACAGGATTTCTAGACCCAGATGACTACACAGATTGTTTTCTTTGACTCCAGATTCTTTGTGGTTAGTACAGGTGTGGCCCAGGTTATACCACAGTAATAGTCAACATGCCATTGTGAGAGAGAAAGAAGTAATTACATTCTCACTTGATTTCATGCTGGAAGGAACTGAAATGCCTGGCATGTGCCCTCTAAGCAGGTGGGCTATTCAGGACAACCAGTATCTCAGGGAAACTCAGAATCATGCAGGGCAGTGGGCTAAAATGGCCATTTCTAAACTGACCTATAAATATTGAAAAATGAGGGGCTTGGATGCAAAACATTTGCTTGGGACAATATTTTGGCAACTATATTCTGAGAGCTACAAAATAGAAGTAGTAGTAGTAATATTATATACTATCACAAAAATAATAATTTGTACTTTTGATTAAGCTAATCTGACATGTTAAGCATTATTACCTCATTTAATCATTACAATTCTATGAAAAGAGCCAATACTTTAGAAGAGAACACAAAAATTCAGACTTTAAATAACTTTCATAAGCTGATAGGTGGCAGATATGTCACTCTGCCCTGCCAACCAGACCCTGGGCATCACTGCAGCTCCAGAAAAGCAGACCAAGCTAACCTAAGAGTAGACAGAAGTGTGATCACCCTGCTCCACCCCTACTGCTCATAGTTGTCAGTGCCTGGCATCACTACAGAGCAAATTCCCTGGTCTGCTCTGTCTGTGCCATCGAGTCTGCCCTTTAAATTTGAGAAATTCTGTAGTAAAGCAAGATTTGTTATGCTGATTCTCTGGGGTTCTGCTCAAGCCTCAAGGCTCTTGATACTACACACACACAAAAAAACAGGTCTTGTCTGTGTAAGTGAGAAGATCTCCACAACCAGCTTTCTTTCAGTATGCAGGGCTGGTGTTGGAGAGCTGGGCTGGAGGTGGCAGCGAGGATGAAGGTCCTTCTCCTTTCCCCATCTAGGTGCTTACCCAACATTCTCCATGAGGCAAGGAAAGAGGCAAGCCTGTGTGCCCATTAGGAAGTGATGGGCATTTGTAGTGTCCTTCAAATCTATTTTTTAAGACCACAAATTGACTTCCCACATGTTCCTTCTAGTGAGGCCATGCAAAAATCTAAATAAGGTACAAAGGCAGTTGCCACTAAGAATACATTTTCTTGAGCAGAGATGACTAGTCATTTTACAGGGAGAAAGTATTTTGTATCCTCAACTCCCTCAGTAGGAGCTACAGAGAAAAGAGTGGCTTTGGGGGCTAGGCTGGTACAGTAGTTGAAAGAGGCAATGAGCTGGCTTAGTGTTCATGAAATGTCACTAAAACTGTCTTCATAAGTCTGGCTGTCTGGAAGACTCCATCCAACGGGGAGGTAAGGGTAGAGTGGAACATACACAAGAAGATAGTTTTATTGTTTTTGAGATCAAGAGATTAGGTTCTTGTGGCATTTTGGATATGGTATTTTAGACTTCATTTTTTATCTATTTGAACTTTTTCTAAATCTATGTAGAGTAGGTATCATTATAAGCCCACTGGCAAAGTTATGGAGAAAGGCTGTGTGGTCACAGTTCCTGGATTCCTCTAGGAAGAAAATTCAGTCAGCTTAGAACTCTGAGTGCTTAGATATTGTGCTCATGCGGAGACAAAGAAATTGGCTGGATAGAGGACCTCCAGGAGACTTCAGAGCACATGGCTTTAAATGTCCAAGACATCAAGGTGGCAGAGGGACCAGTTTCCCTTGAAGCTAGAACATTGGTCTGAGAAATAATTTCTCACACATCTGATTTAGACCTTAGGCAAATCCCCAAACCTCCACAGAACCACCTTCTTCATCAGTGAATTCAGGATTAATAATGATGACAATGAAAATGATGCTTCTCTTTCAAGAATGCCATAATGATTCAATAAATTAATTTATATGGGGAAGTTTATCACCCCTACAGCATTCTGCAAATGTAGAGTGTAAATGCTTCTACATATTTGGGGCCATCTCACCACAGCGACTAAGAGAATACCCCATGTGGAGAATGTGCTCAATACAGATGTATTAAAAATGTCCTTTTATTTTATATTTTAAAAGCAAGGTTAGTATTCTATAATGGCATATAAACTTTTAAATTTATTTTTTAATTATTAACCTCTGAATTTCTGATTAAACCATGAGCTCTCTCTCTAAAAAAAAGAACAAAAATAAATCATGCTAATATATATGTCCAAAAGCATTTCACAAATACTTTCTGGTGGCTCATATCTCTTTTAACATGCACCACAGCTTAAGAAAATGCCTATGTGAGAGATATGCAGGCTTTACCTTTCTGATCAAAGAAATAGACTGTGTAGAAAATACTAGAGGGAACAATCCTGAGATTCTAATGTATTCAAATGGTGCTCTTGAAAAAATAGTTTGTGTCTGATCACAACTAGTCTATTTAAATGAAAATGTACTCAAACTGAAAAGAAGAGGTCTGCCCCATATATGTGGCAGCACTCAGCTCATTGATACTTTTATGAAGAAAGTTGTGGTCTGGTTACCTGAATCCTTCCATTTCCACAATGGGCTGCTATCTGATGACAGCTGTGAGGTCTTGTTACCTTACAGTGAGGCGTCTGCAGGGTGCTCAGATGCCTGCTCAGAATCCAGTTTAACCAGGATCTGTGAGCCAACTGCCAATGACACTGGCTTTGTGCATACAGGCCTAGCTTCGGTGACTGGATTCTACCTCAAGTAACACAGTTTTTGGCCGAGTGTCCTTGCAAAGTAGGATTTCATTTGGATACAGGAGTTCAGGACCAGGACTAGATCAGCAGAAATGGAAAGGTAAAATTTCACAGCAAGATCAGATCAAGCAGAGACCACATCCAGAAATAGGAAATGAAAAAGAAAGGAAATAGTTGAGTGGGAAAACAATTGTTTTGCTTTCACCATCCAGCCAGGGTCTTCGAAAGAACAGCACAGAAGGTATTTGCACCAAATAGTGCTTAGAACTAGCCAGGGTGTTTGCTTTTAAGCTCACAGGGCACTTACTGCCTTTTCTCCTCAGGTAGTTTATGGCATCTTGGCTATTGGGTGTAAATGTACTCCTCCCACACATAAGAGATGCCCTAGTTTTCTGCCTCACTGAGCCCACACTTGCTATTGGGAGTCCAGAGACCAGAGCCCTCCTGGAAGGCAGGTGGCCTCTGGAGGCCTGCATATTGGCTCCTCCACCCCCAGCTAGATCAAGTGGCACAGTGCAGACAGCTGGAAGGTACTCTCAGAGAGAAATTGAGCACCATGTTCAGAAAGCTCCACTCCATCTTTAACTCCAGCCAGCAAAGGAAAGCAGAGGTGGCTGAGGGTTTCTACTACAGTGGAGCTGGCCCCACAGTGCAGCTGATACGCAGCAGCAGCTCCGTGTATGTGGTGGGGGACTATGGGGAGAGATTCAGTGAGTCCTTAAATAAATACAAAAGCACCAGCAGCATGGACACAAGCCTGTACTACCTACAGGAGGAGGGAGACCGGGTGTGGATGTTTTCACGCACCCAGGACTGTCTACAGTACCTACAGGAACTTCTGGCCCTGCGGAAAAAATACCTGAGCAGCCTCAATGACCTGAAGCCCAAGCCCACCCAGGGTTTCTCCATCACCTATTCCAAATCCTCCAAGGGAGAAAAAAAGGCCCTAGGTGAGTCCACCTCCAAAGAAATAAAGGTAAGTGCCACAGAGAAGTACAATTGAGATGGGAGTTGTTCCAAGAGACTTTGATGTTTCATTGAAACCTAGCTCATTCCTGAACAGCTTAGTTAATGTGCACATTCTAAGCAATGTCTCAGTTGTGCTCACTCTCTATTGCCATCTCTCAGCCTGGGAAGAGTGATTAGTCCCATGCTGATTTTCCAGGTTGAAGCAATAGAAAGGACAGGTTCATGATCCCAGAGAAGCCTGAGGGGAGGGAGAGAGCTGTGGTGTCAGGCAGCACTGTTGTTGTATGGTGCATCTAATTTAATTTAATGCCATTTCATAGATGAGATTATGCTTGTTGATGTTTGGGTGACAGCAAAATCATTTCTCAACAAATTATTGCTATTATTTTTATCATTGCAATCACATCTAAAAATCCCAGTAAAAGTGAAATTTTCATGTGAACAAGAGGTTTTGAACTATCTAGCTGCTTAGCCCCAGGTGAATCAAATAACTGGAGGCTTTGCTCTATCAGAACCCTGGACCCAGATATTTTGGAGACTTGGGCACAGCCACAGAGAGTCTGTACCTTGAAAGAGATTGTACAACAGATTTGCTGGCATTGGAGGCTTCAAGCCAAGACAGACTGAACAGGAAATTAGTGAAGTATATAACTTGAATTTATCTGATCATTTTTACCCATCACAGTATTGGTATACAGTACCTTTCTTTGAACATTTTAATGACACCAGAAAAGAAGGGGGGAGTGACTCTCTGTATCACAGAAGAGCAAGCTGAGGCCCAGTGACCTGATTCTGAAAGCACCCCTAATTCAGTCAATTACTCATTTCTGTATTTACTCAATATTTTTTAATGCTGGACGTTTAAATTTTTTAAAAATATATATTTTCATCAATCGCTTTCCTGATGCTGGGACTCTAAAGTGTTCAGAGCAGACCTATCTCTCCTACATTCTGGCTGTCTCCCCAGAGGGTCCCTTGGGCTGTGCAAGCCCAATTAACTTTGAATGACTGACTGACCTACTATCAAATCTCCAGGGCTTGGCCTCATCCAATTCATTTCAACTGTTGGCATTTTATCCAGGTGAGGCAGTTTAAGTAATCAATTTACCTCCAAAAGTATGTTGCGTTGGGGCCTATACAAAGGGTCCTACTCTTAGGTCCCAGTACTGACCCTGGGCCAGCTAGCTGTAAATTTGTGGGCCAGTCACCACTCTTTTGGGGCCACTTTTGATGATGAGGGGGCAGCAGTGGCTTCTGAACTCCCTTCCAGCTTGAGTTTCCTCGGGTTCCAGACTCTGGTTAGATTCCCTCTGAGCACTACATTTTCAGGGAAAAAAAATGGAGTTCTCTCTTTTGTAAAACTGAGCTTCCTTCTTCTATGCTCCTTTACTAGTTCAACTGTCTGAAGACAGAGTCAGGGTTAGAGCCAGAGCAAAGAGATCTGGCTGAGTAGGAATGGCTGTAAAGAGGGTTACAGGCACAATGTAGTATAAAAGTTTCTTCAGGAGATTCTTCTTACTGTGGTATAACTGGAAAAGAGTTTCAGAAGGACTTCAAAGTCAGTCAGAACAAGATCCAAATTTTAACTCTCTATTTATAAACAAAAACTTTGTGCCTTTGTCAAATTAGGTTTACTTCTCTGGGCTTTTATTTCTGTAGTATACAAATGGAAACAAGAATCTACCTTGTGAGAAGAAAGCAAGATCCTGCCTGTTATAGGACCTGATACATACTAGGTAGTCCAGTGTTTACTGACTGTGAAATGTAAGGTACAGCCTTTAGGCAAGAGTCTCTCCTTCATCACTTCCAAAGAAAGAGCTGTATGCTGAATGTAGCCTGAGAAACATTGGGCACAGGCTCTATATCCTCAAAAGGACAGGCTGGTAAGGTGGCTTGTGCCTGTTTGGCTGTCTGAGCACAGAAGGGGCAAGGAAACAGGAGAGTTCCTTCCTTCTGAAATGTTATCACCTTTCTGCATTGGTAGAAAATTATGTCCAAGGTTTAGGGCTAACAATATTTTTTCTTGACCTCCTGTTATATGCTGAATTGTGTCTCCCCCAAATCAAATGTTTAAGTCCTAACATCAACTACCTCAGAAGGGGTCCTTATTTGGAAAAAGGGTGGTTAGTTAGAGATGTATTTAGATAGGATGATTGCAAATTATTAGTGTTTGCCCTTATATCACTGCTGGCCTTATAAAAGGGAACACTGGGACCCATGCATGTACACAAGGGAGAATGCCATGTGAAGATTATATTTATGTACCACAAACCAAGGAACTACCAGAAGCTAGAGAGGGGACTGGAACATCTTTCCCTAGTACTTTCAAAGGCAGTATGGGAGGGAAGGGGGAGACCGGGCGGGGGGGGGGGAGGGAAAAAAATGTACTTGAAAAGTAACTAAATAAAATTAAAAAAAAAAAAAGGCAGTATGGCCCTGCTGACACTCTCATCTCTGATCTGACTTTTGACCTCTAGAACTGTGACAGAATAAATTTCTGTTGGTCTAAGCTGCCCAGTTTGTGGTACTTTGTAATAGCAGCCCTAGGAAATGAATATACCCCTCTATAGAATCATCCTTTGTTCTTCTCAAACATTAGTCTAAACACATCTCTATTCTACCATTTATCACATCCTGCTGTGGTTGTTAGCATATTCATGTCCCTTGGTGGACTGCAGTGAGCTTGGTGAGCTTGATGAAGTTGAAACAGTATCTTTATCAGTTTCTTACCCCCAGAGCATAACGATGACTATGGTCACTTATGAATGCTTTATAGATATAAAAGTCTGCTGTTTTTTACGTTGTAGAGCATTGGAGATATGGCCTTCATGTAGAGAGTGAACAATGTTCCCTGTAGTTCTGGACACTGTGGCAAGCCCTCTCTCCCTCCCCACAAGTACCAGCCACAGGACCCAAGTTTTCCTTTCTGCTTCTCTTTGGGGGAAAGATAATGACTTTGAAACTGTTTTGTTTAAACGTGATTGGGGGTGGTGGAAGAGAGCAAATGTGGGATATAGGGTGATGGAGGAAGATTTAGGGTGATAAACACGCATTATAATATACAGATGATGTATTGTATAATTATATACCTGAAAACTATGTAATTTTATTAACCAATGTCATCCCAATAATTCAATAAAAACTAAGTCAAAACAAATTAAAATAAACTTTTAGTTAAAACCCTCATTAAGAAATAGATTTTAGATGTTAATCCAGTTTATGGAAACATACAACCAAAACAGAAGTTCTCTCTCTGGTACTCTAATATTTTTCAAAAATATTTTTTAGTTATTATACCCTACAGCATTAAGGCCTTAATTTTATCTATTTATTATTTATTATTTATTTATTTATATTGTTGTTCAAGTACAGTTGTCTCCATGTTTGGTCATGACATACTAAATTGATCTCATAAACCACTATTAGGTCAAGAACCATAGTTTCTCATACCCTCAAGCAAGGCATTCAAATAGGTCCAAATGAAACACTAATATATATCTAAGGCATGATGCACTAGGGTGACAAATGGTATGTTATCCTAGCACTCCAGAGATGCTGATAGCCTGGAAGGGCACCTACATGAGATGATAGAAAGAGGAAGTGAGGTGAGCCTGTGTTGGATGTGGGAAGACCCCTGGGCCCCATGACAATTTGCTCCTCCATCAGAATAATGGGTAATTATAAAAACAAATAAAAATGCTTTTTGTAACATTTTAAAATCAAAACAAAATTTCATATTTGAGGAGATTTTTTTGTCAGTGTTGGACATGAGCTGCAATTTGGGACTCATTGTTTAGATGACCAAATGTTATAATTTCTGACACAGTAAAAAAATAATGTGAAAGAAAGATGGTATATTTGAAATGATCCTGTCCTAAAACATATATTTTCTGAACCTATAGGGAAAAGCCACCTGACTCCCTTGCCCTGAGTACCTGGGGTGTTTCTTCCATCAAAGAGAAACAGTGGGTCTCTTTCATACTAAATCTCCTCCTACCCCTGACCTGCAGCCCAGGCACAACTATGAACAATCAATAGTTATTACTGACTTCTAATCATTCACCAAACCAATATATTGAGAATTAACTCAATATACTTTTTTAGATACTAGATACTAGTATCTAGTATCTAAATACTTTTAGATACTAGATACTTTTTTAAAAAACTGGGACTCGAAAGTATTAAGAGATTTATGTAAGTCTATTCACCTAATGAAGAGAGAGACAGTCTTTATCATGCCAGAACTCATACTCTTGTTAATGTATTCATGGTACCTTTCGATTAAAATATATATTCTGAGCTTGTATAATATATCAGATGTGGTAGTGTGCAACTCAGGATGCTTTATCCTGCATATCTGGGCCAGGGAGAGTCATCCTACCCTGCATGGATTCTGTGCTTGGGTTAAGCTCCCACATGAGGTTGCATGGCTCACTCTCTCCTTATCTAAAACAAACCTGAACCAGAAGAATGACTGGAAGACTCTCTCCTCCCCACAATTCTTGAGTAAAAATTTCCTGTGTCTTGACACTTCCTCTTCACATGGCTAACTCGGATTCCACTTTTACTCTTAGTCTCCTTAGAATTTAAATATTGAGTTTCTACTACCTACTTTTGCACTAGAAAGAAAGCTAGGTAATGAATGGTGTGAGCACTGCTGCAGTAGAAACTTGATAATGAGTGGGTATTGTGTCCTCAAATCATTTCCACAGAAATGTTTCATACTTCCCAATTCATTTTATAGAGTATCTGAGTAAGTCATACACTAGCAGAATAAAGTAGCAACAGATGTTGGAAAACAAGAGAAAAACCATCAACAGAAAATCAAAAAATGTGCAGATTATGCAGCTAATTCAGCTGCTATAGATGAGTTTAGATTTGGCTTTGCACTTTCTGGAAGCTAAATAAAAATAGAGCTGACTTGTTCCAGCATTTTAATCTGAGACAAAGAACAATAACCATTGCTTAAGGAAAATAATATTTTCCCCAGTTTTAAAACTTAAAATT